AGCATATATATATATAGTATATATATATATATATATATATATATATATATATATATATATATATATATATATATATATATATATATATATATATATATATATATATATATATATATATATATATATATATATATATATCATCAATTACTAAGATATACTGTTCGTATATTTTAGTAGTAACATGTGTGATTTTAGTAACATTTCACACTATGTCTATGAGCATAAAACGCCGTAGAAAATTTATAATTTTAAACTTCGTTTCAATGTTACACTCATAACATTTACTCAATACAGATCCTAGGGCTCTGGCCTTGTCTCATCTTTAGTTCTATTTCAAAAACTCATTAATACTTCATGAGGAAGAAAAATCATAAGCGTGTCGTATTTTTACATGTGATAGAGATTTCCCTTTAATAACTTTGATTTTCTTAGCCTGCGTAGCAGCTCTCATTTCTGGACTTACACAACGTATTCTTTGAAAATTACTTCGCCAATGACCTTACTAGATCGATCGTTTTTGAAGCAATTTAAAACATTCGCAGTGCGTGTTTTATCAGACTTAAAGATACTCGGCTTTGCCTCGTATCTTTATATCTGATACAACACTGAACACTGCTCATGTTTTAAATAGTACTTAAAGTAATTATGGGTAACAGTAACACCTTGCATGGGACTTCTTGTGCCGTTTGTGCTCTTCCGTTTGAGTTTATCGACTAATTGTGTTGTCTTGTCTTTTTGTCAATTTGTTTTTCGTAACATTATGTCTTGTACCATAGTATTGTTTACAAGGCCGTCGGAAATAAATCAATAGAGAGTTTGGCAACCTAGAACGGCAACGACCAGTGGCGGAAATCTTGGTGGGGCGGCGACCGCCCCCAACCTTCACGGAAAATTGACGAATTTTCGGAAATATTGACCTAAAAGAGGGCTATTTGAAAGTTTTGTCGGAAATTTAGGAGGCTTTGATCCCCCCCCCCCGGAAAAAGTGAATTTCCGCCACTGGCAACGACGGAAATATAATTGCTTATATTGTTGTATTTGAGCCAAAGTATACGTCACTACACTTAATTTGCCTCTTTAAGTATTCCTGTTTCTTTCAAACGTACCCTTAAGTAAAAATAGTCCGCGCATTCAAATAAAACACCTCACATAACATCGAACGAATTAACTGTTGCCGTAGTCATGCAACGTGACAATTATGCAAATCACGTGCTAGTTTCAACAACTACGGCATTGCACAACGCTTAAGACCATGTAATTTACATTCGCCTTTGTCTTTGAGGATTAATGCTATTGTTGATGACCATATTGCCATTGCTCTTGTATTTGCCAAACTTCTATTATTGGGAGGGGGTGGGTTTCAAGAATACTATCTAAATTGCTTTTGCACTTTTCTCACTCTCCTCCGCAGAGGCAATTATATAGGATTGTAGGGATAATGTAGGGATAGTAGAGGACATTTAGTGGTGCGCGACGGGGCGGGGGGTGCGACCCTACCTAGCGCGTTTTGACTAACAATTACGTAATTTGTTTCCCAAGCAATATTACGTAATTGTACTAAACATTCGTAAGGCTCTGCGGAGGAGAGAGCACTTTTCTAGTTTCCGCCTTGGTTTATTCACATAGTAGAATACTCAATAAACGTTATTGAATCGAAAACTCGAATACTAATTTCTTTGATCAAGCCCTCCTATGATTCACAATCATAGAAGGACAATCGTAGGAGGGCCTCGGACCGCTTCTGAGCATAGATATCTTATATACACTAGATAGCGCATCTAATTATTCTGCAATTCAAAAATTGAAGCCGTGATTGCAGGCTCAGGATCTTCCCATGAAATGAGAAGATTCGTATGTATCCTATTTCTTAAACAGGCAACTTAAACATTAAGTTAATCCTATTATAAATACATTTTCAAACTATTCAAATGATGAAAGTTATTGTTATTTTTTAAGCGTTTATTAGCGAGTGGGAAACTCCAACATGGCCGCCATCTATTCAAATGGGGGTAACCGCTGGGATATTCTTGGCTTCAATTTTACTAAAAGAGATGCGCTATCTAGTTTATATAAGATATCTATGCTTCTGAGACCTCGGGAAATTATTTTTCCAGTACGGACCTCCCAGCCGGTAAATATTATACAATTATAATAAACTTGCTAATTTACGTGGTGTTTCCACAAACAATAGTATTATATAATACAACTATAAAACTATAAAACTAGTATACAACTATGGAAATACATAATTAAACAAAAGCAAAATATAGCAAAAACGACTGCAAGCAACTTTAATTAAATCCAATAAATATTAAACCACGGATTAAACTAACCAGTTGTAATGAAGCCGCCCCGCTTGGTCCAACCGGTCTCATTCCACGAGGTCCAAGTTCAAAAATAGTACCATCGTCGTACCGTTTCGATTGTATCCATCCTCCCAATCTCGCAGACGATTCCAGTACAGTGATGTTCTTTGGATTTGCGACCTTCCCAAGCAAGCGATATGCGGCAGAAAGTCCCGCTATACCTCCACCAAGTATCAGAAATTTGCCACTTTCCGCCATCATTTAGTTGAATTCCTCTCAGTGGTGGAAATTTTACGTGCAAAAGTCAACAATATCAAACCAACAATAGATTTGACAAAGATACTAAATAAATAAAATATATTCGAAAAATATAATCATATATTACCCTGGGTTCAGAGGTTTTCTGGTGTCAGGTTGTGTCAGGCGAGTTTTAGGAGCGAAATAGGAACAGTGAATAGGAAACAGGAAATCCCCTGTTCCAGGGTAATCCGTGATTGACAACTACTGAAAATTCCTTTGAAGCTCTTAGAAATGTCCTTACGGAGTGAATACAGAAATAAAAATAGGTACGCGAGGCGTACATATATATATATACCTGCGCGTAATGCATTGATGTTGCATTGATGGAATTACATATTTACAGCGATTTGGAATTACGATGTTTGTGATGTTACTCTGAGTGTATATCCACACCGGGCAAGCTTGAAAAATATGCCTGACTACAGTGGGAATCGAACCTACGACCTTTGGAATACTAGCCCAATGCTCTGCCAACTGAGCTACGCGGTCAGGTCGGTTCGAGTATGCGATATTTCGGAACTGAGTCTATTTCCTTCGATATCAATGCAATCTAATAATCACGATTTTTAGATTGCATTGATATCGAAGGAACTAGACTCAGTTCCGAAATATCGCATACTCGGACCGACCTGACCGCGTCGTAGCTCAGTTGGCAGAGCATTGGGCTAGTATTCCAATGGGGGAACGAGGTTGGTATTCCAAAAGTCGTAGGTTCGATTCCCACTGTGGTCAGGCATATTTTTCAAGCTTGCCAGGTGTGGATATACACTGAGAGTAATATCACATCATATTCACCTGAGTACATAACACCAACACAGAAAAAAATTGGAATTATATACTTACTTCGTATAAAGAATATTTACTTTTAACCGGTGACTGAACTCACAACAATAAACTTTGAACGCGTAGCTATATTCCTCTGAGACCTGTTTCATACGTCGCACCATCGTCGAATTTAATTCAGATTTAATTGTACGAATTAAATGCGACGGTAGTGCATCCTGTGAAACGAATTAAATTCGTCTGATGAATTACATTCGCCCAAGACGTTTTATCCGTCATGGTCAGACGATACAACGTCTGTAGTGCGTCTTAGTTTCATACGACGTCTAGCTTATCGTCGTGTCGAATTAAATGCATAAATTATGTTAATATTAAATGCATAAAGTCTATTTCTCTCTTTCGGATCTCGTGGTTTTTACTTCTGGGTACCATGATTGCTAGTCATGAAATGCATTCGTTTGAATTAAATTCGTCCTTTAAAACCATTTTAATGTCCACCAATTGACGAATTTAATAACGAATTAAATTCGTCTGAATTAAATTCGACGTATGAAATAGGCCCGACTATATTCAATCACAGGTGACTGAATCACAGGATTATATCACCTGTGGACAAACATATACCAAATGGCAAGTCTGTGGTCTCTCAAGCATACGATAACGTATTACTGTAAGAGATTTTACCACCCTCTCCCGCACCGTCTCGGGCGAAGGAACAATATTTGAGGAACAATATACACCAACTGACACCAATAGCCAAGCAATTAATATTATTAGGGCTGCCACTTAAAGTGGATTACGTAAGCAATTATAATTTAAAATATATTTTTTATATGACAAAACAATTTTTCTTCATTGTCCAGTCTTTCAGTTAATCAGTTTTCTGAATTTTCTACATGACACACAAACCAACCAAAGTAGTTAGTTGCCCTGAAGAAGGCTTTGAAATAAAGTCGAAATGTCACTAGCCTGCTTGACGCCTGGAATTTCCAATTATCCCGCTTGGAAATTCCAGGCGGCAAGCAGGCTAAAATATCACTATCAGCTGGATTTTGGGCATGATTTTTAAACTGTGAACTGGAAACGGATTTTCAACGTTCAAACTTGTAACAAAGTTCAAACTTGGTTATTCACTTCACAGAGTTGCAAAAAGTGTTTAACCTTCCTCCGAATTATGTCATTAAAAATCGTCTTCTTATTCCTATTTCCTACCGAATATTTTTCAATTGTTATTGATTTCTCCTTAGTATTCTCTAATGTGTTAGTCATTTAGTATTGGTACTACCACAATAGTTACAAACACAATGTCAGCATCCTACCAACGTCAACCCTGCTTTTATTCTAGTCAAGTATCACTTCTTATTTTATTTGTTTTATGGTGTTGCCTGTTGAGTAGAGTATTAAACCTTCCTTATTGACCTCTCATAGTAAACCACACTTTGCAACTCTGTCACTTCGACCTCGGTAACTAACCTGTACATGTATGGTCAAGGCCTAGACTATCAGTTAAATTGCTTCCCCACGTACGTTACTTACATTAAGTTTCGAAATTGAAAATATTAAGTAATTCCATCTCATCTACTCATTTATGAAATAATTTGTCCACTGCAAGTTGAGTATGATAAACACAATCATTTATACCAACCCCGTCATACCAGGACCCAACAAATGTCAGTGGTAAATTATATTGTGCAACATAATGTCTCATGGATTGAAGCAAGTCACTGTGCCCAACATTGTATTGTGGTATACACTCTCTGTGAATAGAAACGCATACTTTACTGGGTTTCTCTTGAATAGCAAGCGTCTTTCGTAGAGCGATGATTGTTTCGTTCTTGATATGATCTTTGTTTGCCTCGTTTGGATCTCCGAACTGCTCTTCGAAGTAATTGCCACCAAGAAAGATCTAAACGAGTATTATATGATGATGATTAAAGTATGGTTTTCATTTCTGACGCAAACGCAAGAATAGCTATAAGAAGAAAAAAAAAAAATAGAAAAAAATAAAAAAAAATGACGTACTGACGCATGCGCAGTATTAGCAAATTGGTCGCTAGTACCGTATGATTATAATGAAAGAAAGAGCAAGTGAGACTAAGAGTTTACATTTGTCAGTGTTCTTCTGCAGTAAAAATAAATTAATCTGAATAAAGACTAAAATACATCTTTGAATCTGTAGAATATGATCTGTCTGTATAAAAGATTACTGTCTGAACAAAATTTGATAATAGGGACGAACTTTAATTCTGACCGAGAGGTATCTGAATTGACCACCGTTTTCCATAGTGCCATCAAGAATGCATGAAAACCATCCCCATATTAATGCAAAAGAGATGGTTTGGAAAATGAGCTTCGAAGGAAAATAGAACTAGGGATCCAAGGATAGTGTAAAGTTTCAAATTGAATAAGATCGGGAAGAACTGCGTAGGGTCTAGCGGGTTAATAGGTTTGCTCAACAATTAGGCCAAACAACGTCACATTAGGCCTTTGTTTTTTTGTCTTAGCGTGTTTTGTTTTATTTGTTTTCAATAACGGCACTAATACGATTTGGCCTAATTCTTCATCTAACATATACCAACCCTGCACGTTACTCAAAAATGTGGATTAGAACAAGGTTTTTACGAGAGAAACAATTCATTGTCACTTCCTTCGCCGTGCCTCGTGGAACTGGTACAATTTATTTATTTATTGTGATGCTACACGAGACAACTCGAAATTTAAATTCTTTCACCAGCAACCAAATTTTGTATATTCTAAAACTACAATTGCATTGGGAGCTGTCGCTGAAAGTATCCCCATGAGGCTACTGATATACTAAACTTATTTAAAACTATCAGCGCCCATATTGCACATTTAACTATTGTCTCAGTGACACAATTGAAATAGCTGTATAACTACAGTGTGTCCCAAAAAAGTACCCTCTATAAAAAGTATCTATCCTATTGTTATAAGGGTACTTTTTTGGGGACACACTGTAGTTAATATGACGTTGCATCCCATTACAAAAAACATAAATCCAAAACACAGACACATAAAAATGAGGCGAAAAAATTCATTTAAATGACGCATTTTATCCCCATATCCGTTCCGCACGCGCTCCATGGATCCGCTAGGTTCCGCATCCGCTTCCGCATTTTAACTTAATTGTGACATGTTTCTCAATAACAAGTCTCAATGACCTTTGACTTTATATTCCCAAGGCCAAGATCAGGTTGTTTTTTTTTATGAGTCATTTTCAGCTTTTCGCAAGTATTCAATAATGTCACTTTAGATGTCAATAATTTCACAGTTACAGCAGAGTCTATAGCAGTTTTGATAAAGCTTTGATACAGATAGATTCTCGTAAGATCTGGTGATGTTCTCGTTGCATTTGAATATTGCATTGTGCCATTGAACACCAGTTTGCACCGTTGTGCCAGACATGTGAACAAGGCCCGTGACTACACGTTGGATAGCAAACGCCATACAATGATATACAAACACTACTTCTGTTTGATAGTTATTTATGCTCTACTGATCTGATGCAATGTTTTGCTCTTCGTACTGAGTGACCTATTCTGTGGTGTAGTAGTGTTACACCTTTACATTCGATGTATAATGAATATACGACTAAATAATATCGGCACTTAATTGAATGCCGGTATAAATGCACAACATCAATTTATATGCATCTCAAAGATTTTATCAATATTCATCGGTCTGAAATGTTTATGTATTTGAAAACAACGCTGTCTCGCTCCTTCCTAGCTCTCCACTGTATAATGAATATACCGTCAAAATAATATCGGCACTTCGAAGATTTTCTCAATACTTATAATTAGGGCTGAAATGTTTTATATACATTTGGAAAAAAGCACTATCTAGCTCCTTAATTCTTAGCTCTGTATAATGAATATACCGTCTAAGTAATATCGGTACTTGACTGAATGCCCGTAATGAATAACATCAATTTATATATTGCGTAGACTCTCAAAGATTTACTCAATATTCACATCTGAAATGCGTAACATTTGAAAACAACACTGTGTCGCTCCTTCCTAGCATCGTCACGTCATCGTAGGTCATCTACGGTTTGATAGCGCATGCGCATTTGCGCTGCTAAAGAAAAAATCGAGTGTTCCGGGGTAAAGATCTTTTACACAACATGAGAAGCGAATGTTATAAAATTTACAAATAATTACAATAACGACAACCACTCCTCAAAATTTTTGTGAACTTGGCAAAAGGACAAAAGAATATTTAAATAAGACAACTGAAATTGCCTAAATAACCTTCAAAGCACTGACTAAGTACAATAAATCACTACGAACATATATCGTATACACCCCCCGGAAAGTTTACACTATTATGCCTGATCCCTGACTCATATGAATTTTCCCCCACTCATCACAATACTTGTCAAGTTTCGAAGAAACTTGACACTAAAAAGAAGAAGACTCAGGAACACCGAAGGTCGAACTGTTGCAGAACAGCTAGAGGGGATCTGGGGATGAACTGGCTTCGGAAGCTGGCTCAGAACAGACAGGGATGGACTTTTGTTGCTGCATTACATGCAGGAAGGCATGATTGACAGCAAGCATAAGTAATTATTAATTAAACTTGAAAATACATGCATGCGGAAACCCTCGTCATGCTGACAAAACCATTATATTTTCCGAACATGAAGTATTTAAAGTAGTTGTCATTGTAACACGATAATTTTATTAAGAATATTTTTAAAATTGAAATCTCCCACAAAAATATCACTTTTAATTAGAAAATATTTCCCAAACATATATATATTAGGTATGTTAGTATGTATATTAAGTCTTTCGACTTTTTTTCTCAAAAAGCTTTTGAAATTTACAAAATCTTGCGAAAATGAAATATATTTGCAAGAAATGCTTGTTATTTCGCTGTCGTCATGCAGTCGTTATAATGAAAATATTAAATTTGACCGATCAGTGTTCGCTAATGACCACCAACCATACCAGGCACGGTAAACAGTGAACAGTGAACCATAGCCATGTGACCAGCATGATTATTCATGAACGCTTTCCTTTCCCCGGGGGTAAGTAGCCGTGCGGAATTAGTATTCGTAAGCCCGGAACGGCGCTTGGCGCCGTTGGCTCGGGATAAAGGCTGTTTTCCACTTCAACCGTATCGTACCAACTACCGAAGAGTAGCGTATTTCTTTGTTTGCTGAGCACCAAAGTGGAACTAATGAAGGAAGGGGGCCCAATTTCCCCAGAGGGGGCTCCGAAATGATGGAATTGCGGAACGTGTTAAATATTAAGGAATATGAATGAATGAATGAATGAATGCATGAATGATAATAATATTTATTCAGGAAACCACCATCACAAGAAGTGTTTTTCAGATGGTTCCTGCAAAACATTAAAATACAAAATATAGAAAATATATATAGTGTGCGTGCAGTATTTACATGTTGGTATATATGGATGAAAATGATATACCAGAAAAATTATGAGACTATAGGATACATGATGCTATACATATTTACAAGGATACAAAGAGTTTATAGTAAGTTATATTTTAAATATACTGTACGAGTATTATAAAGATAGAGTGAAAAAATAATATTGTTAAAAAAAATAATATTGTGAAAAATAATATTGTGAAAAATTGAGGTCGAAAAGCTCTGAAAAATGTATTTTCCCAAAAAGGTTTGGAAAATTTTTTGGGACGTTTTATTTTCGCAAGAAAACGTCGACATCGCCCCGCACCCCCCGTCGCCACCATTTTCCGGAAAAAATGTTTTGAGGGGGAGGAGGAAAGGGGCCCCCAAATTTTTTAGTTCACCCCCCCCCCCAACCAGATATCGCTCGGTACGTCCCTGGAAGTGGAAAACGGCCTATAAACAAACTTGTCGATGTTGTATTAATTTTATGTACAATTGCTTTGTGAAAATTATAGTAAGTACCATAAGTCCGCATTTCTTATAAATCAATCATCAAACTTACCGTTAAACGCGTTGATTTCGAGGATCTTCGGTCTCCTTGAGCAAACGTACATGAGTCAAAAATAACACCCAACACTTTCCGTGATTCGCGTGAGGGATATAAAAGACCAAAGCCTTCAATGTCTAAAACTGATCCGTCAAACTCCAGGTTTACCGCAGCGACAGTAACTGCATTGATCTTCAGAAGATGTTTTGCCAGCATGGCATGTTCTTCAGGAAGTATTCCAGCAAGTTGTTTCGAGGAAATACCACTAATGAGATGGTCGGCTACAAATACTTCACCTTTTCGAGCTCCTTTTGCTTCAATTTTTTTGTCTTCATTTATCTTTATCGACGTTAAGTGAGTCGTTTTCAATATCGTAACACCAGACTCTAGTAATTTGTTTTCTAAAGCTTCAACCAATGTTGTCAAACCTTTCTCGAAAGTCCAGAGACTCCATTTTTCTGCGAACGCTTTCGCGATAAGTGAGTTAGCATCTTTGGGAATCTCTGGGCCTTAATGAAAATAAAACAATACTCAATATCGATGGCCTGATTCATATCCGATGGCCGGGATATTACCACCTATAGTATAGGCCGTATGCTGTGACCTCGAAAAGTGCCTAGAAAGCGATTTTCATTTCACCCATCTTGGAACTGAAATATTTTTACGGGAACTAACACTTTCGAACACGCTGAGTTCAAATCCGAAAAGTTCCCGCTCCGTAGACCTGCAGTTTTCTCACAAACTGCAATTTTATCTTCACTAATTTCACGACAACTTTTTTCATTGTTCAACGACACGGATCGATGACGACAAATGATTATGTCACTAAAAATACCAAATTCTATTAACCAGTCTTCCTTTTAACAAAAGACCAATTTCGCTCGAATCATTTTGAGTTATGTTATATTATGCGTGTTGGACGTAAACAACATATCTTGTCTACAACTTTGGGAAGGCACAGATAAAGCTTTCTGAGATCCTCAGTTCTGGCTCTATCTCAATAAAATTACAAGGACGTTATTGCTATGTCTTTTGGCTATGTCTTTTGGCTATGTCTCTGGGCTAAGAAATAATACCTTACATGCGATCAAAATGTTTTATACAACGATGTAAAACGGTAATGTTATGTAAAGGATCAGCATTTAAATTTCCAACACAGTTTTTGAGACGTAATTCAAGAGGTAACTTATCATTGCATTTGAACTATAATTATATCAGTTGGTGTTATTCTGTGCGATTAGCAAGTATTATTGGAAAGAGGGCTTTCATATACGTTGTAATCACCAAATAAACAGCTCATGCACACATTTCTCCACTTCGTCGTAAGTTTACAGAGCAGATTTTATACTAGTTCATGGCACTGATATTTGTCTTTGATGTGAACATTTATATTCTTCTAGTTTAAGATTATTTAAGAGTGATCTTGTCGTAAGTCTTCTACCAGCAACCCATCGACAATATTTCATTTTAGATTTGTCTTTGCCGTTCTGTTGGCTTCGCGTTTACTTTTGTTTTAAATACGTTGATCGCGTTAAAAGAGATATTTCTCAGCCCAGAAACACAGCCAAAAGACTTTAGTAGCATTAACGTCCTTGTGATTTTATTGAGATAGAGCCAGAACTGAGGATTTCAGAAAGCTTTATCTGTACCTTCCCAAAGTTGTAGACAAGATATGTTGTTTACGTCCAACACACATAATATAACATAACTCAAAATGATTCGAGCAAAACCGGTCTTTTGTTAAAAGGTAGACTGGTTAATAGAAATTGGTCTTTTTGAGTGACAAAATCGTTTGTCGTCATCGATCCGTGTCGTCGAACAATGAAAAAAGTTGTCGTGAAATTAGTGAAGATAAAATTGCAGTTTGTGAGAAAACTGCAGGTCTACGGAGCGGGACCTTTTCGGATTTGAACTCAGCGTGTTCGAAAGTGTTAGTTCCGGTAAAACTATTTCAGTTCCAAGATGGGTGAAATGGAAGTGAACGATATCCCGACGCAGCAAACGGCCTACTATGCCATTTAGAACGTCCGCATATTAATGCAGGAACGAGATTTGGGTTATTTGCGTTCCAGGTAACCAGTCTTGTGTTACAAAGTACGGTGACAGAATTGTTGGTCAAGGAGAGAGTTCAAGACACACTTCAGTATAATAAATATTGGGAACTTTTTTGTACATTTATTGAACATTTTCATTCTTTTCAAGCAAGAATGAAAATATTCAATAAATATACAAAAAAAACGTTCAATGACATGCAAGTGTTTGAATTCGTTTTCCTCCCAGGGAGAACATTTTAAAAGCACACAGCAGAGTTTCGTTAATTTAGTTCTATATATAGAGTCAGCATAGATGGAAAGAAAATTTTTATAAAAATTTGCGTGCCAGCAAACTATAATTATAATATTTCATATAAATTTATTACATTAGAATAAATTCCTCAAAATCGGTAAAATGCCTGACGAAAGACGTTAATCTGCAAGTAAAAATTCTAGTAGATTTTATTTAACTGAATATCCTGAATATTGCCAGAAAGTGGCATGCACTTCACCACAAGATAATGTATGTTGCTATATATTTATCCATTGCAAAAGGGCAATATTTGCCATTTTCATTGCTATTATAGAGATATACACAGTCAAATGTTTACTGCACAAGGATTTTTACTTTAGTGGCGAGGGTATACTAATTCGAGAAAAAGTAATGATGATGAAACATACGGGAAAAGGAAAGCATTAGCGAAGTCTAAAAAGATCATCAATAACCTTTCATGGGTGGACCTCCTATATTGACATCAAACGTATGCAGGGGAATTTCAGGAGTGAAAGGAGTATGACTTGTGGGAAAAAAGAAAAAACATTCTGAAACCAGAAAGGAGGCGAGCAGCCAAACAGTATATTTGTTACTGCTTCATAACAAAAGATCCGGGACAGAAAATCGTAAAACCTAAGGCATGTATTGTTTGCTTAAAAAACTGATGTTACGTATAATGAAAAAAAGAGAGCATATTCAGTGTACTTTGAATTTATTTATTGAAAATCTTTAAATTAAAGGAAAACGTTAGATCAGTGGGGTGGCCCTATAGACCCCCTTTAAAAACTCCCACTTCCCCTAGTTTGCCATCTCCTAGTTTGGACCTTTTTCGTGATGCTCCCGGCGCCACTGAAAATTCTTATAAGAGCGCCTGAATGTGACTAAATTCAATCTGCACGAGTTAATTGGGGATCGCTGCCCAGCGATTTAAGGAAATATTGTGCAAGTTGGATGCGGTGTCACTTTGACCCAGTTCTTTGACATGCGCCCACCTACCTCTCCACTGGTGAAAGGCTGGATCTTAAGGAGTGTTAACTATATTAAAATTTCACTGGGAAAAATAGTCAAATCCATACTATGGAATTTGCATGCAGTTACATCACTAAATTGTATCCGTATATACTATTTCCATAATATATCCATAGTACGGAAATTGCAATTAGTATGATTATTATATACATGACAAAATTACTGCAATCTGATTGGTTAAGAGGAGTGCAATTATTTCGTTAATTGCACTCTCCAGGAGTGCAATTAATGATTCTCGTGATGGCTGGGGGAGCGGGAAATCAAAACAACAAAATCCAATATGGCGGCGAAATTTAGATAAGTATTTCTAACAAATGTGGACGAATTTAACTGAATTTTGGCACAAGAGTGAGTTTAAGAAACATTGTATGGCAAAAAGAGCCTGTTGAAAATACCTGGAAACAGTCTTAAGAAATAATCTTGGCGGGATGCAGCGAAACGTGACTATGTAAGTTTGAAATACAATTTATAAAGATTTCCTTAGTCTAAAATATGTTGTTTGAGTTTGAATCTTGTGTTCTAGTTTAAGTTATGTGCCTTTATGAGTTTATAATCATTTCCCAAGTTTTTTTATACCAAATTCCTTACAAAATAATTAAAAACTCTTGACAAAATGCAGTTGAAATATAAAGAAAGCGATTTTGTCATGCATATAATAAATAAACTCGTGATATTTGAAAAATGTGCCAAATTGCACTCGTGCAATTTTGGCACATTTTTCAAATATCACTCGTAGTGTTAATCATTAATTGCACTCCTTCCCGTGTGATTACCTATACAAATTGGCCCGGATATCCACATTATTTCCAACGAATATCCATACTACAGTATTTCCATACTAAGGATTTTGAAAAAAATTTCCAGTGAATTTTGTACTTATACCGGGAGTTTGGCCTATATACCTCCTTATGAATTTTTTCTGTGTTGGTGTAATGTACTCAGGTGAATATGATGCTTGTGATGTTACTCTGAGTGTATATTCACACCGGGCAAGCTTGAAAAATATGACTGGCCACGGTGGGAATCGAACCAAAGGTCGTATAGGTTCGTAGGTTCGATTCCCACCGTGGCCATGCAGGCATATTTTTCAAGCTTGCCCGGTGTGGATATACACTCAGAGTAACATCACAAGCATCATACCTCCTTATATGTTTTCTGTTGCTCATTTCGCGCACAATTCACTCTTATCGCCGCTAGATACCCTAATCTTACAAATAACAAATGAAGTTAGTCAGTTTTACCGAAGACGCGGGCTTATGGAATACAACCGGTAAAATTCTTAACCTGTACAGAGACGGTCTTGGCGGGAATTCTAGTGCATGCCTGTCATTCGTGCATACATTCAGATTCCCGTGTATAGTATATACGTAGAATCAAACCTGCTGAAGTGGGAAGATAAGGCTATTGATTTTCGTGGTTTGCTCTTTTTCAAAAATTGACACTTACAGTATATTATACTTTAGCCAATTATACACTGTGAGTTAAGTCAGTTAACTTTGTTTAACTTTATGGTTAACAAATGACGAAAATCGTTTACGCAGCCCATCTTTTGCCGGGAAGTACAGTGCATGTATACGCGGTATGATTGTTAATTGTTGAAATTTTTAAGCAACTTAATGTTGTAGAATACCTATATACTGTGGTGAAATGTGGAAAATGAAAACGAAATCTTACGGATAGCATGTTGGCCAGAAGTTTGTGCTGTGATTTCCGAGATTTATTCGACCGGGTTTTGTTCTTGTTTTCCAGGATCGATGATTATGCACGATGGCGGTCAGATGTGTGTTAAAGGTGCTCTTGTTAACTTTTATATTCCAAGCAGTTTTTCAAACTTGATCATTCGTCAAAAACCGATTTGCCGATATATTTCGAGCCATTGGGGATTCAAAAAATGGCTGTATCTGATTCTGTATATGCATGGAAAGCGATGATCTTGGGTGGTGTTTTTGAGGGGTTTTCTGAACTTTCTTCGACACTTGATTCTATATTGACACCGAGCGCTTTAATTTGTGGTATGGAGCCATATAATTCTATCAATCAAGTTGATCGTAAATATAAATTATATACACTGTCACTTACTTTTGCTGAAAAAAAGTCCCTTTACAACAGATCCTGAATTTTCTTCGAGGTTGTAGACCATAGGAAGACATGACTTTATACTTAACTTCTTTATATCACCAGCAAATATACCACGACACATTGGATCGATTATATAATCTGCAATCTGAAACCAGGGGGGGGGGATTTTAACATCTTTAAGATTTAAAAATCGAACGTAAAGCTGAATTTAATCTTGACTTTTCAGCTTGCCAAGTTACACCAGGCTGCATAGGTACATGGCAGTATCTTAACGATATTTAACATCATTGGCAGAATGAAAGTTTCAATAATTTAAGGTATTATCTATCATCTAAAAATAGTCTTGAGAGCCCATGCATTGGCATGCAACTACATTCACTTTCAGAAATAACATTTTGCATGTTTTGTTAAAAGGATAAAAAAATAGCAAAATGAAGTCCGTTTGTATGATCAACTGGCATCTAATTTCCTTATTAATAAGAGAATGCATGCCGGATCTAAATCGTGCAATATTGGTTTCCATCTTGCATTAGGTCTGCATGCATGTATATAGGTTGAGACTGTTGCCGTATTTTATTAATGAGATATTGTGAATATAGATAATCTTGTATACATAATACCATAATTGGTATGTTACCTCACTATTTAGCCTTCTGCTGATGAAGCTGTATATACTTTCATCATCCTTACTTTTCTTTTTCGGCACCAGTGGCTCTTTGAGAAGGATCGGTAGTAAGTTCTTTGAGAGGAGTGATTGGGTTTTAAAAAGACCTCCAATGCCAGATGGCAGCTTGTGTATTTGGTTATGAGCGAATATGTATCTATTCTTCGCAGAAATATGATCAGAAGATACTGCAATAACTTGGTTTTCCAATCCAAGATCGTATGCCTATAACAAGACAGGAGAAATGTTAAAGATGAGAAAAGCATTATAACTAACAACAATATCAACACTGCTGCCACGCTTTCCATATGCATGTAGCCTTCTGTTTCGAGTATACATAGCTGTTCAACATTACCAGAAATAATGCATGGAACAACACCTCGCCTATATTTTCCAAACATTGTTTCAACAAGCGCGGTTATGCGAGAGCGCAAGTGCGCATAAACAGTTAAAACAAAACTGCCTTACACTTTAATGTTTACGTTTAAAAATTGAAAAATGTTTTACAATTTATTTTGTGAAAGATTTTCCAAGCTTTCTTACATGTTTTCTAGATTGTTCATCCTACACTCCTGGCACAGATTAAGGTGGCTCCCTGCAGTTATCCCTAATTGCCCAACATCTCTGCAGTATAGGATGTCCCAAAACTATAGAAATTATCCTATTGTTGTTAAGCACAGGATTTCATGCGCTTGGTAATTAAAAATTCAATTCAATTGTGTTTACGCACTCTTGTGTTCAGCATAGTGCTCAGGCATTCAAATTATAGGCATTCAAATTTGGGACACCCTGTACAGGCCTATTAATCAGATCGTGCATTCTCCAGGCGGAATTTTCCTCGCGGAGCGGAATTTCTCTTTGTTTTTTCTAATTAGTTCTACCTGAGAAATCACAAGACAAAGAGAAATTCCGCTCCGCGCGGAAAATCGGAATATTTAGAATTCGGTTTTGACAATGTCACTGTTGCCATGGCAACATGGCGAAGCTATAAAACCAGTTTATTTTAGCTACAAAATTGGTTTTATCTGAAAAATGAATCTGGTGACCTATCTTTTTTATTTCATATATCAATAGAGCATGATGTTCTGCAACTATTGAGAAAATTTAATAAAATCTTTACAGTGCGATTTTTTTAAAAACGAAAATTTTATAACAAGATTTCCACTGAAAAGATTTTTTTTTAAATTTGAAAATATATAAAATTTACTAAATTTAAAATTTGTGGTCAAATGTGGTATCTATCAGTTTCCTTATTAAAAATTTGCATGACACTTGCCAGAAGGTCGTGCATGCGCAGTGAAGTGTGTGACACAATTCGACTAGAGTTTCACATCTGCATGTATTGTTAAATCTGTGCTCCTGGCAAGCATCCGTGACCACCCATCATTGAAATGAATATGACTCAACATAACTGGAACGCTTGTCCTAGTCTTGTCACGCATGCGAAGAGCGCTTAATCAATCAATCATGATATATAAACAACTGGGTCTTGACCCCCAGACATTATTACGAATACAAAACATACTACACAGCTAAAAACGATCAGGTTGTTGCAATAGTTGATGAAAACAGGATTGAACAATGTTTTGCTGCCCACATTGTTCACAGTTGTCAACAAAATTGTTCAATATTATTATTATTGACATGTGTGAACAACGCGGGCAGCAACTGGGCAGCAAGCCAAGACATTGTTCAATACTTCAATCCTGTTAAACAGCGGGCTCAACGTTTTTACGCGTGTAAAGTCAAACATTTTGCCGTTCTCGCCACTAAAATACTTCATGTAAACTCGTCATATGCACATCGCTGGTTTTTTACAAAGAGACGCCTGGGTACGAAGCAGCTCACCAACGATAATCTGGCGAATCAGTATGTCTGTGTTCCCAGGGCTCGACATTTGTCATCATCTCTCTCGCCCAGGTAGGGCAAAACAAGTGCCACTGCCTGGAGGATGGGCAATGCTAGAATTGACTGATGCATAACGTCCAGGCAAATTCGTATGGCCTTCACTCGAAAGACTATGACTGGAAAGAGAGTTGTTACAGGGAGAGTTAAGACGATACCCAACTCTTTCCATGCCCAATACTCCAGCAATCAATTTCTTAACTACAGGAAGGATTAAAGGAAATAACACAAGTACACAACGTAACGTAAGGAAACAACACAAGTACACAATGTAACGTAATCTAACAAGTAGTGCAAGTTTATTCTTTTGACTACTGCCATTTCAGTTTAAAGCATGGGCAAACCCTCCCCTCCAGAAATTCGTACTTTTGCTGGCTCAAATTAAGTTTCTTCAGCAACGAACACTTCTGATGGAGGACATACTTTAGCAAGTTTGATGCACTTGGTTAGAGCGCTGCTCCGGAATTGCAGGTCTGTAGGTTCAATTTCTGCCAGGGACCTATTGTTGCATTTTTCACTTCTGTTCCTGGTTAGGTCTAATAAATGTATATAAATTTCCACTCGATAATTTCCATTTATAAAATCTTCCAACTATTATTCAATTGAGTGAAATGCGAACAAAATCTTGATATTTACAAGTATATTATCTTTCTCAGGATTTCTATGCAAATTGAACTCTCACATGTTAGATGAACTTAGGTAAAAAAGTGGGAGCATGCTTGTTGGAAAAGTGGTCATGGCTCAAAAGAGGAGGGCCTGTAGGACAGGGGGCTGAGGGGGGGGGGGGGCGGCAGACCCCAATAATTTTTTGATTGGGCAGTTTGTACCTAAAAATCAGACAGATCTATCTGACTCCATAGAAATGCCTTTGAAGGCCACATAAACATTTGTTCATCTCAGTATGCCAATACCAATTTTATAATGATGTCATAATATCAGTCGACTGAGTTAAGGCGACGTCATTCATGTCGATTTTTTAACGATAATTTCCAACGTAAAATGTTACCGCAACCAAAGATCGTTTAAAAACCCTTAATAAATGGCACGCTTCACACATTAATTTAACATACAGTATTGCATTAAAATGCAACATGTATCATATAATTTTGCATATAATTTTTAAAATGCATATTTTCTCAACAATCGGTTTTAAACCATCGGAAATTATAATTTAACCGATTGTCTACCAATAAGACCAGACCTCTCAACTCTCACGCATTCGGCGTGAGTCTCACGCAATTCGTTTCACTCTCACGCTCTCACGCCACAATTAGTTAATCTCACGCATATAGCAGTTTCATAGTATTTTTTCAATAATATAATATTGTATTCTTAATAAATGCACATTATTAATCATTATACGGATTGCGAATCGAATATATAATCGCGTGTTATTGGTCCTGCATATACGGCCCGACATTAATTTTGGCTAATTTGCCCACAATTTGCATGGATACAAAATAGTACGCATATGTAAATACGGCGGACAAAAGGCAGAATCAGTCGGAGCAGAATTCTATATGTAAATTATCAAAGGCAAATTAAAGCTCATTACCGTATGTCACAGAAATACAGTTATAGTGCCTTGTCTCAATAAAGGACTTTATGAAGCAATGACGTATTTCATTAAAAAACACCAACTCTCATAATTACGAAATGCCATTTCAGACCCCCGGCCCCGGACTTTTACAAAGGTGTCATCCACATTCCCAATCTCACTTTTAACTTCTCTGCAAAGTTGAGAGGTCTTAAAGACAAAAATTGACCCGATGCCTAATAATTAACAATTATTCGCCGAATGCGAGGTGATTATCGGTGAATAAAAACCGAGACGAAGTCGAGGTTTTTATTCACGATAATCACCTAGCCTGAGGTGAATAATTGTTTTAGTATAATTTCATAGGTGATTATTTGGAAAAAAATTTAAAAATGCACATTTCTTCGTCTTTTAATTGACAAAACGGCTTTGGTCGCCATTTTGAAAATCGCTTAGGTGATTATCGCGTAATAATCACCTCAACGGTAACCAATCAGCGTGGAGAATTTTCAATAATCACCTATGTAATTAATTATACTAATACCGATTATCGGTCAATCACTAATGTCTATATAATTACAAACAATAAAGATAATTATTTATATATAACTTTGCTGTCACTGCTATTTAATTTAAATATTAGAAAACCCAAAAAAGTGCATTTTTGTGTCTTGATTGGGCTAAATATCCATCTTATAACCAATACAGGCAATATTTCATGTGATGATCAATATATAAGACGTGAGCTATTATGGTATTGAAAGCTGGTTCAGACCTATTCTATTATGACCACTAGTGCTTTATTTATTTCATAATATAGACTATTACCATCATAATATAGAGCTATTCTGCAATCTGATTGGCTCTCTACTAGCAGGATATTACCTCATATCCTGCTATCATTGAACTAGAAGTACACTCCATAACCCCTTTAATCAAGTCCTCCTATGATTCACGAAAGCCAATACACAGGAATAAATACAGAAATTCCACCAGGTAGGTCAGAAACCGTCAAGGAATTTCCATGGTCGAATTTCCATGGTTGACAGAAATTCCAGGGGGTACCAAAAAATGGATGTCCTCAACAAGGGGGTGCAGATACTTGTGTGATGTTACTCTGGGTGTATGTCCACACTGGGAAGGCTTGAAAAATATGCCTGGCCACGGTGGGATTCGAACCTATGACCTTTGGAATACTAGCCCAGATAATTGGAATTATTGACCAATCAGCAACAATAATAAAGTTTGAGTGTATATGAATGTTAATTATGATTAATAAAATAATGTATTATAAATTAACATATTACAAAACATGATATTTAAACAATACATATACTAATGTGTGATGGGCTGTTCTCTGAATTTAACCAATATTCTTAATTAATCCTCATAACACACCATGTAAACAACAGACCTGATGTTGCTGGACCCATCACTGGTCTCATTTAGGTCGGTCCATACTAAAAATATTTTCCCTCAACCTCAGAAACGTCCCTTGGCCTTCAGCCTCGGACCGCTTTTGAAACCTTGGGAAAATATTTTTCAGTATGGACTTCCCAGCCAGTACCCTGGATCAGGGGGTTTCCTGTTTCGCTGAAGCCTGCACTCTGGTGGATCCGCCATGGGTTAAAACTCGTCTGGCACCAGGGTACCCAGCCGGTAAATAGCATATTTAACAAATATAAAAATTTTCCGTGTTGATATACAGTTATATCAACACGAGTGGAAATTGGGAAAACGAGAAATTGTGTGGAAACACGACACCCGAAGGGCGGAGTGTTTTCACACAATTTCGAGTTTTCCCAACTTCCACGAGTGTTGAATGATATAACTATATATCAATACGGAAAAAATGTTTTATATTTGTTTTATAATATAGCAATGTCAAAAGCCCGAAGAATAAGAAAAATTTCCGTGTTTACAAGCGGCGGAAAATTTCCCGTGTTGACATGGAGTTATATCAACACGGCTCTTAGCCAATCAGTGTTCACAATTTACAAATGCTATATTATAAATATATTTATTATATAAACATAAGTGTTATATAGAGTTTTTGGCCACTGAGAAAAATGGTATTTAAACACACATAAAAAATACGATATCTTTACGTGTGTAAATATCATTTGTTGTAAAACGCATTGCCACGGACGTTTTATTAGTTTTCACTGAATTCACACAGGTGCTTGGAAATACATTTCACACAGGTGCTTGGAAATACCAGATTTATTTCTCATGTTGAACACGATATCTCACTCGTTCGCTGCGCTCACTCATGAGATATCATGTTCAACACTCGAAATAAATCTGGTATTTCCGCACACCCATGTATTATTCTCTATATACAAGCTTGAGCAACAATCTTTACTTTATATATATATATATATATATGGGGCTTTATGGGGCTTCGGTGGCCAAGTGGTTAGCGCACTTGCCTTTCACCTCTGAGGCTGCAGGTTCGAGTCTCACTAAGTACCTTCTCAGTGCGACTCGAAC